ATTCATCCTTCATATCTGTAAGTTTAAAAGGAATGGGAGAAATTATCAAAAGACAGATACAAGCACCTACACTTTAAATTTATGCTTATCTACAATGCCATAAACAATACTAAAATATAAATTGGAATAAACTATCTGCAGTGAAAATACCAAGGAGGGGGTAATATCTTACTGTACAAATCACTTACAGAAATCAACTACATAAAGGCATGAACTGATCATTCATAACAGAAGAAACTGAAATGGCTAATAAATATCTGAAAAAAGTAATTGATCAGTAATCAAAGAAACACTGCTGCAGATAGCAATGCCATGCTGATTTTTCACCTATCAAGTTAAGGAAGTTTAAAAAGGGGGCACCTGGGTGGCTCAGTGGGTTAAAGCCTCTGCCTTCGGCTCAGGTCCTGATCCCAGGGTTCTGGGATGGAGCCCTGCATCCGGCTCTCTACTCAGCGGTGAGTCTGCTTCCTCCTCTCTCTCTGCCTGCCTCTCTGCCTACTTGTGATCTCTGTCTGTCAAAGAAATAAATAAAATCTTAAAAAAAAAGAAAGTTTAAAAAGTTAGCTTCCTTAATGGCTTAATGTGAGAGTGGGGGCAGTAAGAACTTGGACAGTCTTTTTTTTTTTGAAGGAGGAATGAGAGCTTTGTTCAGATCCTAGGGCCCTAGATAGTCATTCTTAGACATTGTTGATGAAGTATACATTTGTATGATCTCTTGGGCAAGCAATTTGGTAACTTCAATCAAAGAGCTTTAGAAAATCTCCTACTCTCTTACCCCATAATTTTAGTTTTAGGACTCCATCTCAAGGAAATTCTAAAAAAATATGTTTGATACTTTCTGCACAAAAATATTCATCTCCAAGCTATGCATTATATTTAAAAATTAAAAAGTATTACATGCTTCATGTTAGAGGATAACATGACATGAATATAATGCAGTTTTTAAAAATTAAAATGTGCGTATGTATTGAGTAATTGTCTAAGTATTTTGTATTTGCTCATTGACCCCTCACTACAAGGATACTGGTTAGATTCCTTGGCCCTTCCAGGTGCACCCACCACTCTTCTCCAGTTTCTTCTGATTGGTAAGAGCTGCATCAACAGAATCTCTTGCCTTCTATTTTCTGGTTGGGGTAGGGCAATGGAAAGGACCAGGGGAAGGCCGGCAAGGAAGTTTTGGATATTATTTGTCCTGGTTCCCTCTCTGTGAGTTTCCTGTGGGCTGTAAACCTCCCTGAACTAAAGGCCACAGCTTGTGTAGGCAGCCCCTACCAAACACCACCGTCACCAGGTTCTGATAACTGTTCTCTCCCTTTACCCCTTCACAATGATGCCTTCTTGCTCTCACCAGCCTGGGGATACTGACTGATTCCCTGTGGTTTCTCTTCATCTTACTTATCTCTTTTAAAATATTTCCTTTATGGGGCACCGGGGTGGCTCAGTTGTTTAGCATTTGCCTTCAGCTCAGGTCATGACCCCAGGACTCCATCAAGCACCACATGGAGCCTTGCATGGAGCCCCATGTCGGGCTCCCTGCTTGGCAGGAAGCTTGCTTCTCCCTCTTCCCTGGCTTGTGTTTCCTCTCTCGTTATCTCTCTCTCTGTCAAATAAGTAAATAAAAACTTTAAAAATATATATATTTATGTCAGTTTCTTCAAATGATTTAATTAGAGTTTTCTGTTTCCTACCAGATCCCTGACAGATACCATGGCTTATGAGACTTTATATCTGAGGAGATAGACACAGAGAAGTTAAGTAATATGCCCAAGGTCACAAAAGGGAGGAAATAATAATTGTAGGATATGTCAAAATTGTTCCTTTATCTATTTTAAAATAACTTTTATTGTTTTTATTACAAAAGATATACAAAATATACAGTACAAATAAAACGAAGAGAAGAAAATACCCATATTTCCACTCACCCAACCCATCCATTATTTATTTAATAAGATTCCCACATTTTTGTCTCTAGGAAAACTCCTGCTTTTCATCCCAGGCTCTACTTTCAATTGTCTACTCTATAACCTTCATCTGGATGTCTCAAAGGCACTTGAAACTGAACATGTCCAAAATAGGCTCATGATCTTCCAAGTTCTAGCCACAACCAAGTCCTGTCAATTTTACATGTAAATGTCTCTAATATGTCCACAGCTCTCCAGCTGCGACCACCCACCTTAGTCCAAGACACTATCACCTCTTTCTTTGAAGAATTCCAAGCTTTGGTCTCCCTGTATCTATCTACTCTTGTCTCCTTCAGCCCATTATTCACACAGCAGGCAGATAGACCTTTTCAAAATGCAATCTAGTCATAACACCCCCTGCTTAAAACCTTGCAATGGCTTCCACTGCTTAAAATACAGACCAAGGGGCATCCTTTGGCCCAGCTAACCTCAGCAGTTTTGTCTCCTGTGCTCCTTTCCTCCCCTTGCTTAGCTCTACTGTCTGGCTTTTAGCTTCACCAAGGAACCATGCTTCTTTCTACCACAGGCCCTTTGCCCACATTGCTCCCTCATTTTGGCTTTTTTTTTTTTTTTAAGATTTTATCTGTTTATTTGACACAGAGAGAGGGAGACAGCAAGAGAGGAAATACAAGCAGGGGGAGTGGAAGAGGGAGAAAAGGGCTTCCTGCTGAGCAGGGAGCCTGACACAGGGCTCCATCCAAGGGCCCTGGGATCAAGACCTGAGCCCAAGGCAGGCACTTAACAACTGAGCTATCCAGGTGCCCCTGGGACTTTTTTTTTTTTTTTAAGATTTTATTTCTTTATTTGAGCATGAACACAAGCTGGGGGTAGGGGCAGGGGCAGAGGGAGAGAGGGAGAAAGGGAGAAGCAGACTCCCTGCTCAGCACGGGGCCCTATGGGGCTCGATCCCAGGACCCTGAGATAATGACCCCGAAGGCAGACCCTCAACCATCTGAGCCACCTAGGCCCTTTCTGGGACGTTTTTACATACCTCCCCAAAGTTAACCTCCAGAGTGATAAGACACCCTAACACTTTCTTATCACTAGCAGCCTTTCCAACATTACATTTATCAGAGCTTATGTGAACACATCAAGCATGTGGTTGCCTTCTCCTTTACCAGCTCCTCTAGCAGACGGTAGGCTGTCTTGTGTCGCCTGCACATCTCCATCCAGTACTTTGCCCTGTGCCTAGCACATAGTACGAAATCAGTATTTGAATGAAAAGAAATAAACGCAACAGGGATAAAGACAAAGCTGGACGAATCGTATTAGAAAGGTCTGAATTCTTTATATCCATTATTTCCTCTTTTTTTGCTTCAGAGTCTAACAAGATAAAAATGATACTTATTTAGTCATGCATCAACTACTTTTCTAGAAAGTAAAAGCTATTAAAACTGGGTAAATAGGGGCACCTGGGTGATTCAGTCAGTTAAGCGTCTACCTTCAGCTCCAGTCATGATCTCAGGGGCCTGGGATCCAGCCCAGCGTCAGGCTCCCTGCTCAGCGGGGAGTCTGCTTCTTCCTCTCCCTCTGCTCCCCTACATGCTCTCTCTCTCTCAAATAAATGCATTAAAAAAAACTTAAAAAAAACTGGATAAAAAGACTATATCTATATTCCCTTACAGTTTCTTCAACAAGATTGATACACAACTCGAGAAGCAGGAGAAATATTTATAGGTGGGCATGGATTCTAGTTAACTTCCTGGAGTTTTCATCACTTACTCTAGATGTTTTATTTGTTTTGAGGGTTCTAGGGATGACAAAATCAGCTCTAGGCGGATAAAGTGGAAATTTAAAGAAGGGATAAAACTAGCATGAGGCTGGTTGTACAGTAAAATACGTTCACTAAGTATCTTTTTGGTAGGATGGGGAAACACGTGTTTTGTTTGCTTGTGCTCCTTAACTAGCCCTTGATCTTCACTTTTAAAATGCAGGCCCCACTTAACCTGAGATAGCTGGGGGATTTTTTTTTTGTTGTTTATTTTCTTTTTTTCAAAGACTTCATTTACTTATTTAAGAGAGAGCGCGCGCATAAGGGTTGAGGAGGCAGGGATGAGGGAGAAGCTGGCTCCCCACTGAGCAGGGAGCCTGATCAGGGCTCCAGCCCAAGATTCTGGGATCATGACCTGAACCAAAGGCAAAAGCTTAACGGACTGAGCCACCCAGGCGCCCCTGATAGTTGAGTTCTTAATTTTCTTGCCCTTGCTTCGTTTGGGGTCAAGCACCTCAACTTGGACAACCCCACAGAGAATTAATAATCGCCCATTGGCCCCAACGGCTTCCCACTTCACCCCGCCCCCTCCCTAGGGAGGGGGCGCCCGCGGCTGCGCAGACCTCACCCAGCCCCTTGTGACGTCACAAAGGAGCCCACCCAAGTGCGGTGCAGCGGCAGGAGCCCATAGTCCTCGTCCCTGCTCTTTAATTACCCGCTTCCCTTACCCCACTTGGCTCAGTCTTCTTTTAGTCAGGGTATGAGAATAAAGGTGCTAGGCTCAAACCCCCACGGGGCCGCCACTGCGCCCTTGGGTGGCGTCGCCCGCCCTTCGGGGCCGGCGAGAGAGACGGAGCCCCGCTGCGCTAGCCCTAGGCTCCCCCGCCGCCCACTGGGCGGGTCTGCTGGGGCGGCCTCGGGAGCGCGCGGGTACCGGACCCAGGAGCTGGCGAGGCGCGCGCCCGTGGGGGAGGGGCGGGGAGCAGAACGTCGTCACCCGCCCCGCGCGCTCCAGAACCATGAGCTCACACAGCTCGGCCGCCTCCAGAGGCAGTGGCAGCGGGAGGGGCTGCGAGGCGGAGCCCGCGCCTGGAGCCGGGGGAACAGCTTCCCACATCTCGGACCCCGACTCCAACTTGGGCGCGGTCACATCCTCCGCCTCTGGGTCGAGCAGCGGTTCTGAGTGGCGGACCTTCTCCAGTCCGTTTTCCAGCTTCCTGTCGAACGTTTCCATACCGGACCCCGGATACGAGAAGAGCTCCGGCGCGCCCGCCCAACTCGGCTCCACTCCCGGCCCCAGGACCAGCACAGACTCTAGGATTGGTCTCTGGGGCTTCGGCGCCCACGGCCTGAACCACCAGATCCCCATGTCTGCCACCCGCCAGAGCACCGCCGATGGGGCCGCGCCAGCTTCCACCCCTGACGCAGGCCACCCCCGGGTACCGGTACAAAGACCTGCCTCGCTCTCAGGTCCCCCTCTAGCGTCGATATCTGAGTCCACCCCGCCCGCAGTGCTCGTCTGTTCCCGAGAATCAGTACCAGGACGTCCTACATCCACGACCTCTACCCAAGAATTAGGGCAAGGGTTTGTCCTGCCCTTCTCGCCCGGCTTCCTCAGGTTACCGATTCCAGAACCTCTTACACCCAATAACACTCCCGAGGTGTCAGCACTCGGGCTCGCCCCGCCCTCAGTGATCGGCTCTTCTTGGAGTTCGATGCCTGGGCCTCCCGTACCCAATAACTCCCCGCTACTGTCATTGCAAGGATCCTATCAGTTCTCAGGACCCGGCTCTCCCCGACTGTCAGTAGACGCATCTGTTGTGCTCTCGGAGTCCTCCCGAGTGTCGGTGCAAGGGTCGCCCCCGCCCTCAGTGCTCAGTACCCCCCGGAGTTCACTGCCGGGATCTGGCCCGCTCTTGGACTCCTCTCGAGTGTCGGTGCAAGGGTCCGCCCCGCCCTCCAAGCTCAGCTCCCTCCCGGCTCCGCAGCAAGGATCCGCCCAGCTCTCCGAGTCCACCCCGCCCTCAGTGCCCGGCTCCCCCCGGGATTCGGTACAAGGACCTCTTACGCCCAGGAACACCCCCGGAGGGTCGGCACAAGGGTCCACCCAGCCCTCCGTGCCCGGCTCCCCCCGGGATTCGGTACAAGGACTTCTTACGCCCAGGAACGCTTCCCGAGGGTCGGCACAAGGGTCCACCCTGCCCTCAGTGCCAGGTGCCCCCCGAACATCCGCGGAAGGATCGGCTCCGCCCCCGGGCTCCACTGACAGAGCAGTGCAAGGGGCTGCTCCGCCCTCAGTGCCGGGCTCTGCCCGAGTGTCGGTGGAAGAATCGGCTCCGCCCCCGGACTCCCCCCGAGAGTCGGTAGAAGGGCCCGCCCCGCCCTTGGCCCGCTCCACTCCTATACCTACGCCCCGGGAGAGTCTCAGCCAGAGCATGGAGAGTGAGGAGAAGTCGAGTATCGCGGGCCACATGTTCGACGTAGTCGTGATAGGAGGCGGCATCTCAGGTTAGTATGGACCGTAGCGGTAACCTGAGGGCCCCTGGCCGGCCCGGGGTGGGGGGCCTCCAGTAGCGCAGCAGCATATGGGGCGGGCGGGCGGGCGGGCGGGCGGGGGGTCTCTCTTGCATGCTGGAGTGCAACAGTGCCCGGGCCCGGATCCTGCGAGGCGAGAGTGGGGGTTGGGCCAGATTTGCCGGTGGTGTGAACTGGGGGAGGCAGAACAAAAATTTTACTGCTACTATTAAATACTAGCATTTAATTAGCACTCGCTGTGCAGTTATATTCGGTACTTGACTAGTATTTCCTCAATCCTCAGCAGTCCTGTGAGAGGGGTACTCGCCCCCATTTTACAAAACCAAGTAACTGAGGTCTGGAGACTTTCAATTACTTTTCCAGCGGTTGAACCACTTAGCCAGAAAAGGGCTGATGATTTTTTTTTTTCCATTTAAGGCCTTCACTTCTAATCCCTGAGGTGGCTGCTTTGCCTCACTGATTTCACGTCCTTTGCCCTAAACAGAACATCAGTGTTGGGATTTTTGTAGTATTGAAGTAGTAAGAGTGTTATTCTGGTTCTGCTCTTCTGCAAGCTCTTTTCCTTAGAAAATTTGGTAAGTGAAGAAGGAAGAATCGTTTAGTAAAACGTGTTCATTGGTTTTTTTTTGTTTTGTTTTAAAGGAGAGAGGGTGGGCTCTTAGTTTTAACCTGCTCCGGCTGTTTTTTTAGAACTTGCAGGAAGGTGTGGGGCATGTATTACCCAAAGGGAATCCCTTTGTGAAGCAGAGGCCCATAGCTGGTCAGGGAATGCCCTGTTGTGTCCTTTCATAACAGCTCCCAGTGACCGAATCCTGTCCTGTGTGGAGCTGGTGAGCCTGGGTTCCCCTGGTCCTGTCCTAGGTTTGCAGCTGACCAAGTGCATGAGGCTTGCCTGTATCTTCCTGGAAACCTCATCATGACTGATATATTCAATTGTCACTTAGGTTGTCATAATTGCTAAAATTTGAAATTCAGGCATTGTGTTTCAGTTCAGCCCTGGCTAGAGTCCCACATGAATCTGCCCCGATTCCTACTAATTTCTGAAATATACCTGCAGGATCTGATTTAGAAAGAGCCAGAAAGAAGGTGGAAGGGAGTTAAGTAGAATGGCCCACAGTAGCCATTTGTATGCATCATCTGAGGAGGGGGAGAGCATGCTCAAAAATCAATTTTGAGTGGAGATAGCTTGACTTGGTCTCTTGAGGATCAACAGTCTGAATCGCCAGAGGAGAGGTTGGCCTGAGCTGTTGCTTTGACACTCTAGCCAGTGCCCGCAAAAACATGCATGTATGTTGGAACATCAGAGGAAAGCAGAGCATGGTGAAGAGTAAGAAAAAGAAGTAAATTTGTCTTGTTTCCATTCATTCATTCAACAAACACTTGCCAAGTGCGTGCAGTGAAGAGAACTGGTGTTTCGCCAAAACCTAGTCCTCCCATGCATGCCTCCTAGAAGCAATGTGGTAGTTGATCACTGGGAAATAAATGTTCTGATTGTGTGGTCTATGAAGTGATTAGTTCTTTCTCTTCCCCCATCTCCATTATCCACACTTCACAATTTGGGGTTCTTTCTGGAATTTTATCTTTGTCCTTTTCTTGTTCTGTGCTCCCGTATTCCCTAAGAAGCGTTTTTGTCTTGTCTTTTCCCTCTGCCCAATTACCTGTTGTGTCTCCATTTCCACATCTTATTTCTAATAATTGGTCATGAGCCAAGGTGGATTTATCGTGGAGCCGGTGACCATCCTGCTTTATGGCATTTCAACTGCAGGTGCCTTCTGCTCCTCATTCTGAATAAATAGCTTCAGACTGTGTCTTGTATTGGTAACCTTGAATTCTTTTTTCTTAAAGAGGGCACCCAAATCATGTAAGCTTCAGGCCCCTCAAAACCTGGATCTGTCTCTGATCATTATTCATTATTAATTTGTTTCATGTGGGGAAAAGCAGAGGGACTTTATTGCACAGTAGTTCACACACCTATTCTAGCAACCAGCTTCCAGTCCCTTAGTGACAGTGGAAAACCAGGGAGCTTTCTCTAATATCATCTCTCGTCACTCAATTGGAGTGGCTTTAACACCAAAACTGACCAGAAACATTGCATTCTGGCTGTGGTGCTTTCCCAAGATGGTTCACAGCTAAAATTAAAAGTAGATGCAAGTCTGGCTCAGGCTGAACCCTGCACACGGACTGGGTATTTCATAAGCAGGTGAGAGGCGTTATTGCTCAAGGGGTTCTTGAGAACCCCATCTCAGAAACACGTCATCTTTGCCTGTGCTTGGCAGAGTCCTGTGAGCGACTTAATCCCTGTATCAGTTTTAAATGCTTTGGGATATTTCTTAAAACTTCTATCACAACTTGCACACTTTAATATGCTACCGCTACCCACACACTTATAATATATGGCCAATTCTCAGTATCTTCAGTGTCATTGCTTTTATATAACAATGTAGCTCCCAGAAGAGTACAAATTCCAAATGACATTCCTCAAAATCAATCCATAGTAACAGAATTATCTTTCATTTTTGATAACTACCTTGGCTGTATAAAGAATGACAGCATCTTTTTTTTCAATATCAGTTTTAAAGATTATTTATTTGACAAAGAGCACAAGTTGGGGGGAGCGGAAGAAGGAGAAGCAGGGGTTGCGGCGCTCGATCCCAAGACCCTGGGATCGTGACTTGAGCTGAAGACAGATGCTTAACTGACTGAGCCACCCAGGCACCCCAAGAGTGGAAGCATCTTAATATAGCTCTCTCATCATTAAAAAAAACAAAACAAAAACCTTAAAACAGGGATGCCTGGGTAGCCCAGTGGGTTAAGCATCCAACTCTTGGTGGCACAGGTCATGATCTCATGGGTCCTGAGATCAGGTTCTGTGTGGGACTCCATGCTCAGTGGGGAGTCTGCTTGAAGTGTCTCTCTGTCTTCCCCTCTTCCAATCATGTATGTGCATGCATGCTCTCTCCAAAATAAATAAATCTTTAAAAAAAATAAAACAGAGCACGTCTTATAGCCACAAGCCCCCTTTTATTGTCTGCTAATCAATTACATAATTGTATATACTGTGTCAGTAGTGGAGAAGGGAGACCCCCTGCTCATTTGTAAGTAATATAATGGTATCTTTAATATGCTCTGGCCCTTACTTGTCATCCATCATCTATCATCAAGTCCTTCTTGAAACTCCTTTCATTCTGTGACACTTGGATCCTGAATTTTTTATTCCACACTGATCACCCCTTTACTGTTCCTCTCATTGCGCCCATATTTTTGTGAACTTCCAGTTTTGAAACGGCTTGAGGTTCAGCTGTTGATCACTGTTGTGTTCTTATGCACTTTCCCCCTTTCTTACTCATTCTAGGACTTGAGATTTCCCTTATCTATAGAAAGCTCTTAAGTCTCTAGTTTGGATCCGTTTCTTTCTCTGAGATCCTGTTTATAACTTATCTGCTCCTGGGTATTTCACCCTTTAATGTCCTGTTCTTGCTTCATATTCACCATGTCCAAAAGCCTCCTTGACCTCCAACCCAGCTTTTCTTCCTCACTGCCTTGGCTCTGTTCTTGGCACCATAATCCTTTTCACCCAGCCAACAGATCCTTCTAAATCCTTGTTTGGGCTTTTCCTCTTCTCCATTCCCAGTGACTCCCCCATCCTCAGGATAGACTCTGGACTCCTTTGGCTCATCAGGTTATGACCATCTTTCCAGTGGCTACCCTTTACTTTGGGCTCTCCCTTCATGTCCATCCTGCAATGTTCTCCCAGAGTTGATTTTTTTTTTTTTCATTTTGGGCATAGTTGACACATAATGTTACATTCGTTTCAGATATACAACATAGTGATTGGCTAAGTCTATATGTTATTCTAGGCTCACCAGAAGTGTAGTTACCATGTGTACCATTACACTGTAGTACAGTACTATTGATTATATTCCCTTTCATATATGCCGTACCTTTCATCCCCGTGACTTAACTCATTCCATAACCAGACTTGAATTTTTTTTAAGATTTTATTTATTTATTTGACAGACAGAGATCACAAGTAGGCAGAGAGGCAGACAGATAGAGAGAGAGGTGGAAGCAGGCTCCCTGCAGAGCAGAGAGCCCGATACGGGGCTCGATCCCAGGACACCGGGACCATGACCTGAGCCGAAGGCTGAGGCTTTAACCCACTGAGCCACCCAGGTGCCCCCCAGACTTGAATTTTTAAACACTTCTTTCATCACCTTGCTCTTCTGCTCAAGACTTTCCTTCAGTGGTCTATTACCAACCCTTCAAGCTTCCCTCCATATGCTCAGTTGTCAACCCCACTTAGTTAGACAACTAACACCCCCCACTGTCCCCAACATGGAGGCACGCTGCTGTCTTGTCAACGGTGCTACACCATGTTTATTTTGTCCCTTCACCGCTTCCTTGTTTTTGTCTTTCTTAACATGGGAGTGCTTCTCTCTGACTGTTTACATTTTATTCATTCTTCAACACCTGATTAATGACCCTTTTTTTAAAAAAAAGATTTTATTTATTCATTTGAGAGAGAGAGTAAGCGTACACACAGAAGCTGGGATAGGGGGATGGGGAGAGAAGGAAAGTAGAGGGAGAAGTAGACTCCCTGCTGAGCAGGGAGCCCAACACAGGGCTCAATCCCAGGACCCCGAGACCATAACCTGAGCCAAAGGCAGACGCCTCACTATCTGAGCCACCTAGGTGCCCCTAATGACCCTTTCCTTAATCACTCTGGCTGCCCTTGATTTTTCCCTGTTAGTGTTTGTCATCTGTGTCTAACAACGCACACTTATTTTCTGTGTCTATTTCTTGATGTTATTTTAACTATAGCAATTCAGTCA